GCGAACAACCGGGAGGGCGTCGATGGTAGGAATTTAGGGCAGAGAGCAAATCGATTGGTACTTTTAGGGCTTTTAGTATCTCTGATACCAGTGAAGAGGACGAGAAAGTGATTAATTTGGGGACTCCGGTGGAGATTTCTCTATTGAGATGATCCAGAGGTGAGGTAATCCTCTCTATATATAGGCATTCTACCCCCCTCATTGTCCCCAAATTGCTGCCTGATTTTCCTCCGCTATCTCGCGTTCTCCATAACGGCTGATCTTGATTAGAGAATATCCCACAGAACGTAAGATATTCCCCAACAACCAGATCACATCTTAACGGGTCGGGTAACAGTTTTGCCCATGAGGCCAAAAACCCACTTACATCTCCCACTTGGCCGAAATGGTCAAATATTGGGGGAGGGGGAGAGGGAGGGGATGAAATATTTTTTTTTAAAAATTTTGGGTATAAAATTTAATAAATTTGGGAGATAAGGGGGTTAAAAACAAATTTTCTCGTCGGAATTTTTAGAAAATGGTCTTATTGACAAAAAGGACGAGATTAAATGCCTTATCGTCGTCGGAGTTTTTTAAAATACCAAACTGACAAAATGGTTCGTATAAAAATACCAATTTGGTATTTTAGCCGAAAATAAAAACACCCTAACAATAGATTTCCTTGTATTTCTTAAAAAAATTATAGGAAAAGTTTTGAGAAGTAAAAAAGTAACAATTTTCTTGCTTTTTGTATTTTACTTGTTTGGTTCAAAACAAGAAAATGGGCTCATTACTTTATAGAAATAGCAAGTTTTCATTTTCTTTAATTTGGTCACATATGCCAAATTTATAGAAAAGTGTCAACTACCATATTTATCACTTTATAACGGTTAGTTTAACGGCTAGTTTCACATTCTCAAATCTTATAAAATCCTTTAATCCTCAACTATCCATGAACACAAAATTTCCACAATTTCCACAATTTGGCTTAGCTATTGGCCTTTTATCAAAATTGATTACCTCAATTGAAACGTACAAGTTCATGTAGATTGTGTACTAATAACGTAGTAAAGAACGTCTTATCTTATTATGAACATTGTAAATTAGTTTACAATCTTATTTAGTTGACCACCATCATTGCCAAAAGCTCAATTTGAGCTCCGAACGGAACCAAAACACCACCAACAGCTCGAACTCCGAACAACGAGCACGAATATAATCCAAAAAACCCCCACAATATAGAGCTAAAGAAGCTCGAATCAGCACAGTAACAAAAAAATAGCCCCAACAGGTCAACAACAAGCACGAATATCAACCAACCCCCCCCCCCCCCCCACACCCACCACTCCACAATATAGAGCTAAACAAGCTTGAAATCAGCATATTAACAAAAAAACAACCCCAACAGCTGAACAACAAGCACAATATCAACCAAAAAACCCAACAATATAGATCTAAACAAGCTCGAAATCATCATAGTAACAATAAAAACAACCCCAACAGCTCGACAACGAGCACACATATCAACCAAAGACTCCACAATATAGAGCTAAACAATCTCAAAACCAGCATAGTAATAAAAAAACAACCCCAACAGATCGACAACGAGCACGAGTATCAACCAAAAACTCAACAATATAAAGCTAAACAAGCTCAAAATTAGCATAGTAACAAAAAATAGCCCCAACAGCTTGAATGCCCCCCCCCCCCCCCCCACACAAATACACAATATAGAGCTAAACAAGCTCAAAATCAGCACAATAACAAAAAAATAGCCCCAGCAGCTCGACAATGAGCACGAATACAACCAAAACCCCACAATATAGAGTTAAACAAGCTCGAAATCAGCATAGTAACAAAAAATGAGCCGCAACAGGTCGACAATGAGCACGAATATCAACCAAAAACCCTCATAATATAGAGCTAAATAAGCTTGAAATCAGCACAGTAACATTAAAAAAACCCAACAGCTCGACAACGAGTACAAATATTAACAAAAAATCCCACAATATAGAGTTAAATAAGCTCGAAATCAGCACAGTAACAAAATAACAGCCCCAACAGCTCGACAACGAGCACGAATATCAACCAAAAACCTCACAATATAGAGCTAAACAAGCTCGAAATTAGCATAGTAACAAAAAAAACAGCCCTAGCAGCTCGACAACGAGCACAAATATCAACCAAAACCCCCACAATATAGAGCTAAACAAGCTCAAAATCAGCACAGTAACAAAAAAAGCCCCAGCCGCTCAACAACGAACACGAATATCATCCAAAAAACCCATAATATAGAGCTAAACAAGCTCGAAATCAGCATAGTAACAAACCAAAAAAAAAAAACAGCCCCAACAGCTCTAAAATCAGTCCAACCAAAAGAAAATAGCACCAACAGCTCGACAATGAGCACAAACCACCAATACAATGTAGAATATAGAGGTAAACAAGCTCTAAAATCAGTCCAACCAAAAGAAAACAGCACCAACAGCTAGAATTATCAAGCATATGAAAATATTTTGCCAATATTTTCTCATCCAACAATTAATAGACTCATTTTCAGTCTCATTCATGCCACAATAGTAGTAAAATCAATAGGTAAACAAAAACAAAAATTCGACCGCAATAGATCGAAAATCCAAACACACGAAACTGTCATAATTTTCTCTACAGTCAACTGCTCAAATGATTGATGATTTTAACATGCTAATTAAGCCACAACAGTGACAAAATCGAGAGCTAAGTAAGATCTGATAATCGACTAAAAAAACAAATGAAAAATAAACCGATTAATCTCGGATAAGAAAAGGGGTTTAGGGGTTTATTTTTATACCTCAACAGCTCAGAAGACCAACGACGGAATCATGAATTAGTTGTAAGAACATCAACGAACTAGAGTGAAGCCCTAGATCTTCGAGCTCCCTAGCGATTGGCGAGAATAATCGAGGACGCGAGCCCTAGTTCTTGCGGGAACGAAGATTAGAACGTCTACGAACTCGAGCGGGAGAATGGGTTTGGGGGCGGGAACGAAGGAGGAAGCCCTAGAAATTTTCTGATATCTAGCGGCTAAAAATAAACCCAAATAAGTCGAAATAACGCCGCTGAACTAGAGCGAAGCCCTAGATCTTCGAGCTTGCTACCGATTGGCGAGAATAATCGAGTACGAGAGCTTGAGGTAAGGAAAACTCGAGAGGGAGAATGGGTTTGGGGGCGGGAACGAAGGAGGAAGACTCGGAAATTTTCCGAGTTCTAGCGGCCATGAGAAAATTGAAATAGGGGCGGAAATGTGGTGAGGGGGTTTGTTTAATATTTTAATAATATGTGTCAGATTTCTAGGTGTTTTTGGCTCATTTTGAGTGGAAAATATTTTTTGTAAAATTGTACAGTTTTTTATATTTTACAGAAAACTTTTCTGTAAATTCAATGTTGAACCAAACACATCTTATAAAATTGTGAGAAAATTTTTATTCATGAAACTACCACTATCAAAACTTTTCTATAAAACACCATAACCAAACACCCCCATATGCTCATGGTTCATTCGTTCCACAACAATTTTTTAGCTCACAAAGACCGATCACAACAATAAGCACGCAAAAGATGGGGGAGATGAGACTTATTTCTATAATGACTTGAAAAGTTTTCACCCCTCTTTTTCCTCATTGCACACAACACAGGCTTTTGCTCACAGGTATGTTTACAAGCATGTTGCTTGTACTTTGATAATGTTACACTATAAAATAAAATTACAGCTTCGAGTTTGTTTTTATCATTGCAAGCTTCATTAAATCCTTCCTCATAATCTTCCCTGTGGAGTTCTTGGGAATTGAATCCACAAAAGAAACACGTCGTATCCTTCTATACGATGCCACCTACATTTATGACCAAGGAAAGGCAAATTACTCTAGTTACTAAGATAGTAATTATACGAGAGGGCAAAGAAAAATCTTCGTCTAGTTATCAAGGCATAATCCTCCAGACCTCCCAAATTAAGACCAATTTTTTTTTTGGGGTTGGGGGGTGGGTGGGGGGGTGGGGGTGGGGGGGTGTGTGGG